GGCAGCATACAGTGCTATATGGTTGTCAATGTGTTAACACATTGGAGGACACACAAATTATACTCCATATGTTATGGGCAGCATACAGTGCTATATGGTTGTCAATGTGGTAATGTGGAGACTACACAAATTCTACTTCATACGTTATATGGCTGTATGGCATTTGTAATAGTTGTTTACTCCCAAGATGATCGTAAAAAGTTATCTTTATCAAAGTAGGACCATTTGGAATGCTATAGTCAAACCATGCCTTAATCTTTTGTTTTCAATACAATTGTGTGTTATTGTTTATAGATTTTTGCCATCATAGTATTTGGATGTATATCTGCTGAAGGCTATTACAATAATCAATGTATGTACAATGGAGATGAAAATGCCTGTAATTTTGGCATTGCGATAGGGGTGTTGGCATTTCTTGCCTGTATGGTGTTCTTGGTGACAGACGCAGTAATGGACCAAATAAGCAGTGTGGAATATAGAAAATATATTGTCATGGCTGATTTAGGTTTCTCAGGTACGTCCATTTTAATCTTACACATATTGTATAACCATCATTTACTGTGGAATCGTAAATCATTGAATCCCCCTAGTCAGCATGTGATTGCATAACACTGTCAGCACTGCATGTTCTGCACTTTGTATCACATGTACCAAAGCATTCAGCAAAGACCATGTGATTGCATAACACTGTCAGCACTGCATGTTCTGCACTTTGTATCACATGTACCAAAGCATTCAGCAAAGACCATGTGATTGCATAACACTGTCAGCACTGCATGTTCTGCACTTTGTATCACATGTACCAAAGCATTCAGCAAAGACCATGTGATTGCATAACACTGTCAGCACTGCATGTTCTGCACTTTGTATCACATGTACCAAAGCATTCAGCAAAGAGCCTGGTGCAATGTTACAAACTAGCAAAGAATTTAGCTGACTGAATGGAGGACTAGGAGTATTCCGAGATGTGGCGCCTTACATTCATGATCTCATAACACCATAGTAGACTTTTGTCACCATTCACAGATCAAACCATTATTTAAAAACAAAATTGGATTATTGGAAGTTATGTCTATTTGGTCCAAAATTAAAATAAATTATAGAAAAATACATAAATATGAAAAATGACGGACTAAACTTTTGAAAGAAAAAAATATGGGTTGATAGTGTTTGTGAGGAAAAAATTCTGCTCAAGTTGCTGTTACTCGCTTTCTCAGATCAAAGTAAAATTGCCACTGCTACAAATTTCTGCCATTTTCACTGACTCTGAAATTTATTATATCACAATGACCGAGAACAAAAATACATACTATTGTTATTTGTAGCGGCTGCTATCACATAACATCAATCATGATGTACGACTCCATAATGTTCAACTATAATGAGCGCATCTGGTAACAGCTTTGATATGGCAGCTTCACCTCGCACACTGCTGTTCGCACTCCATTGGGTGTGCAGAGGGGTACCTTATGTTATTAATTATCAACGCCCCTTTGAACGATAGTCTCAAAATGCCCCCTAATCATTGTTTCCACATTTCATCCAAATTTTTGATCATAACCTCTAGAAAATAAAAAAATATTGTCCAAAATAAATGAGGAATTTATTACTAATTTTATAAAAATTTGTAAAAGAGTGCACTAATTTTGTAGTTGTGATGACAGACTAGAGACAACTAGATGACACAACTTGTGCTAAAATTAAATTTCAACAAAAAATTGAATAAATTGTTCACCCATATTTAATAATCAAATGCCCACAAACAATCTTAAGAAGAAATGATCACTGGTAAATTTCATAAATTTTCTAAATATTGTTGTAACATATGTGTCAAGTAAGTTTGAAATTTGTCCTATCAAGATTGGATCCCAAATAGTTCTTTTATATTTCCATGCAGTGTTATACCCAAACTGGTGGCTATTTTTAATAATGATTAATTTTTGGTAGATATATTTAATTTGTTAGGAAACTTGTAAACTGTAATCCCTTGAATAATTTTGAATTTTTCTTAGTTATGTGTAATTTAGACCTCGTGAACATAATGTTGGCTCCATGACTTGTATTCTCATTTGAGATTCAGTATAGACGGCTTTTGTATTTATTCACTGTAACTATAGATACTGCTGACAACTTTCATTGTATTCTTTACTGTAACATTGCATTGGTATACATTCTAGTCATCTCATTCATTCAGCATTCTGGACATTTATGTGGTTTGTGTGTTTCTGCTATCTGGCGGATGCCTGGAGAAAGAGTCCAACAATGCCTTACGGTTCAGACGAAGTACAAGCAGCAATTGCGTTCAGCTTCTTTTCCATTATTTCATGGGTAAATAATCTCATAACATTTGATGAAAACCCCCAGCCTATTTTGAAATTAGTTTGTGAGTAATAGCTTGTCTCTCAGTGCCAGCCATACTTGGTGTCTGGTTGGCTGTATCCTGGTGATTCACATGGCCCTATGCCACCTATACAATGTGTGTGAAATACAACCCAAACTCAAAATTAAAAAATATTCACAAACTATTTTCACTAGGCTGGGAAAAACAATATTTAGTGTCATTGATATTTATTTTATTTTATTTCAATTCAGGTTTTTGGACGTTTATGTGGTTTGTGTGTTTTTGTTATCTAACAAATAAGTGGACGACTTTTGATAACCCGCCCCCAGACTTTCCCGATAGTGGAGTTGAAGCAGCTATAGCCTTCTCCTTTTTCTCCATTTTAACTTGGGTAATAATAATATTCTTCCTTTGGTGAATGTGGAGAAATGTTATATACATGGTTTGTATGCATGACACTTTATTTGATGTGTAACAATATATAATGCCACTTCATCTATTTCGATGTTAAA